ATACTAATATTTCTTCCAAAGAGCTCAAATAAAATGTTTATTTCATGTTTAAAGTGAAATAAAAAGAAAATCCCTCAATGAGAAGAGTCCCTAGAGGAACATTTGAGGTTTGAGAATATTGCTAAGCCCAGGAATACAGAAGGACCCTTTTAGTCAAGTGAGAGGCAGGAGGCTTGGATGTGAACAGAACCCCTTCTGAGTGTGTGAGAAAGAAAAGGGGCCCATGTGTGTGGCGTGTGGGCCCATGGGGATGTGTGAGTGTGGGGAGAGAGACTCTTAAATGATGCCACACATTCCTGGACTGCCTCAGGGTATAGAACAGAGCTAAAACAGGGAAAGGAATAACCCCGAAGGCAGCCTCCTTCCTCAGGGTTGTAGGGGAGTGGAGTAGTGGCCGACCAGGCTGACCAGGAGTTTACTCTGGCTGCTTCAAGGATGTTATCTGACTCTATTTAGACAATTATTCCTTGATAAAGTTTGGCTGTGTGTCCCCACCCAAATCTCACCTTGAATTGTAATAATCCCCATGCATCATGGGAGGGGACCAGTGGGAGATAATTGAATCATGGGGGTGAGTTTTACCCATGCTATTCTCATGATAGTGAAGATCTGATGGTTTTATAAAAGGGAGTTACCCTACCCATGCTCTCTTGCCTGCCGCCATGTAAGATGTGCCTTTCACCTTCCATCATGATTATGAGGCTTCACCAGCCATGTGGAACTGTGAGTCCATGAAACCTTTATATATATATATATATATATATATATGACACCCAGTCTTGGGTATGCCTTTATTAGCAGCATGAGAATGGACTGATTCATTCCTAAATGAACTCTCCTCCAGCTAACCACCTTGGTCACTGATGGGGACTTTCAAGTGCACAGTGAGAAGGGCAGGGGCTGGGGAGGTGGGACCACAGATGTAGTCGTAGGAGTAGGTACTCAGGTAAGAACTGGAGCAGGTGATTCCAAGGTGAATATGTGGTGAGTCAGCTGTGTGGAAACTTTCTTAGCACAGCTATTAGGGTATAAAAAAATTTCCAGTAATCTTTTTTAAGCTAAAATTATATTTGTTTATTCAACATTAAATACATCAGTTAAGTATCCTCTGTGGGACAAAGATGGTGCCTTAAGCTAACGGTGCACAAAGAAATGGGAAGAGATGCAAGATGGCCATGAATAGAATTGACCTAGGGAAGCATATGAACATAACACAGAATGCTTGAAAGAAGTTGATGCTGAGATCTGAGAACACACGACACTGTAATTTATTCAGGGGTGTCAAGGAAAACAGCTCAGAAGAGTTGATATTTAGCTAGATGATGAAGAAGAATAGGAACTGGCCAAGCTAAGAAAAGTTAATGATTAAAAATGCAAAACCTGGATTAAATAGTACTGGGTCCAATTGCTAGTTCAATCATTTACCTCATGTAAAACCTTAATCTCTCTGAGCCTTAACTTCCTCATCCATAAAATGGGAACAATTCTTCCACCTTGTAAAGAGAATTAAATAAGATGATAGCTGTACAGTTTTGCGCACAGTCTCAGCCCAAAGTAGTCGCCTGCAAACGGTAGCTATGATTATTCTTTAGCCCGTTTATTCTGGTCCTGGGCCATTAAAAAAAAGTGGCAAAATGCAACCCTGAGGAATTCCAGACTTCAGGGAGACCAAAATTCAGAGAGGCTTTGGTTCACAGGCCTTCACCAACCCTTTGGATAGGCAGAACATGTTGGTAGAGTGAAATGTGCTAGTACGGTGGAATATTCTTGTATCTTGGATTATAAAACATATAGATAAGTTTCCTCCAGTTCTTAATTTCTGCCCATTCCAGGGCTTTATCACATGAGTCACACCCACTCTCTAACTTACAAATCCCAATGAGGAAGAAATGAAATGCGAGCCACCTTCCCCGTGTCTCCACTCCCAGTGCACTGCCTGTCAGTGTCCCGCACCTTCCTCATAAGGCAGAGGCTCCCCTGCCCCCCAGCCACACCTTCCTCATTTTTTCTCTCCCTTCCTCATGTTGAAAAATGTAAGAGGAGGAGGAGGGGAATTCCAGTTTAGTTTAAACAGAACTCAGGGGGAAATGGCATTTGTTTTCACAAGGAGGAAATAAAGCCTTTTCAGTCACCCTATAAAGTTGTGCTAACATGGGCTCAGCAACCCCTTCATGTTCTCAAACTGTGATGCCCTCAGGTGTGGAACTTCCCAGGGCTGATGTTACCAGCTGCTTCTGAAAGTAGCCACTGCTGTGGAGGTAACAGCAAGCTCAGGATACGAGATCTCCTAGGCTCAGGGCCAGATAAAGGTTTTCTGCTTCTGGAGGACTCCTGTTCCCATGGCTGGCATCCACTGAGAAGAGTCAGTGGGTAGCAGAATAGTTAATACAGTGGTTCAAATATTTAAGTACTCTCTATTTTATCTTATACCATTTGGCCTTATATTGGGCTGTACAAACTCTCAGAAGTGCCCCTTTGCCTAACTGCCCTCAAGGGCCCATCAGGAGGAAAATAACTGGCTAATTCCAGCTCTGGTCATATAGGCTGTCTTCTATGGACATGGTAGGGTGACGTGGAAGAGCCCCATTTGAAGATTGGGGGTAAACTTGGAGCTAGAGAGCCACCCATTACATGGAGGAGAAGTGGTCACTCTATCACTTACAATCCAAAAAAAAAAAGAATGCACTTTAGTTGGAGAACCTGCCTGATTTATCTTTAGAAAGAGGTGGTATATAAATAAACTCAGTAAATCACAAAGTTGGAGGGGACCCAACTGCTAAAGTTAGAGAAGAATCTCTGAAAAAGGCCAAACCTGTGATTTCCTATATTAAGCTATCCCTGGAGCAAGAAAGAAGAGTCTTGCGGGAAAATCAGCTATATTCCTTCTTTTTTCTTCCAGTTTTAAAAAAGAAAAATTAAATTAAAAGGTCAGTGTTTTACGCTTCTCTTAATTGCAATTACTATATCTTTTTGTATCTTAAAATACTCCTATCACCTTACCCTGTGGTTATAACCCTCCTTTCATAAGCTTTTAAAAGAGCTATTACGAGACTTCAGTGAACTTTGAATTGTTCTAATTTCAACACAGTTTAGAGGCCAAGAAGCCAAGAGGAGTCTTTCGAAGTAGGAGTGGAGGTTTTCCATAAGGGGAACTGACCTCGGATGTTCTCTACTTGACCCAGTCTGCACATTTGATCATTCAGTGCCGTAATTCTGTCTTTACAATAGTAAAAAGGGAAAGAGAATTATTATGATAATTATATTAATCTGGCTCAAAATGATTCCAGGAGCAAAGAAATGGATCTGTGAGTGTTCAGAAGCTTGTAAGCTCTGAAATGGTTAAATATGATAAGTCTTCGTCTCAGTTTTAATGTTAGCAATGATTTTTTTTTTAATCTCTCTTTTAGAAATTATAACCAACAGGAGCATAGATGTCTGATGTAGCATTCTTTCATCCAAAGCTTTTGAGAACTTACTAAAGAATTAACAAGTGGACTGATTGGCTTCTTAACTGTGCTACAATTCTTTTGGTGGGAAGGCTAATAAAGCGAACAGTAACAGGAGCCATTCATAACCAGCAGACAAAAATAAATAAATAAAAGAAGAGATACTAAAATAATCTACAGTGATAAATCTCCAAAAATGTGGGGGAGAGTCATCACTTTTGAGACCTAGTACACGAGAGATGAGAATTGGTCCAGGATCATATATTTGCATAGTGCTTTAAACTGGTGCACCTGGCATCTCAATGAATCCCCTTAAAATCATGCAAGATGGGTAGATCACTCTTATTCCTCTGTCTCAGCAGGTAAGTAGTGTAAGAGTCGTCAGGGATAAGTAAATAGTTCATGGTCACACAGCTACTAATAGTTGGACCACACTCAAATCCACATATTCAGACTCCAAATCTCTTGTGCTCTTTGCAGTGTGTTTAAAAGAGTCCAATTCATTTGTTGAAGTACTAGTAAATAATTTCCCAGTTGCCTAAAAGAGTAAATGGGGTCCCTAACACCAGCTTTAGTGCCAAAAACTCACTTTAAGTAGTAGGGGACAAGAACCCAATTGATTCTTGCCATTTTTAAGGTGAAATACTAAAGTATATTCATTATTAATGCAAAGCTCACACAAAAAGCATGTTGTGCTTCAAAGTAGTATTTGAAGGAGGTATGGTTATTCTTACATGGGTACATGCTCAAAGAGTTTTTTTAAACTGCCCATTAAAAGTTGCTTTTGGAACCAGATTTCAAACTACAGAATAAAACATTCACGTTACTTTATATCGCACCAGGATATTTCTACAAACACAAAATAGTGTTACCTATCAGACCTGACCTTATTCTATATATCAAACTTTGCTTTATTCTCTATAAAACCAAGTTTACTATTCAAGAATGAAAACTGAACATATTTCCCACAGAGGAATGTTTTAAAATGCTTTGACTTGATTGCCTCATGAAAATTAGTGTATTTCCTACCAAGGCGACCCTTTTAAAGTGGATACTGCTGATATTTTTATGAAAAAACCAACCACATTACTTTGTAGTGACCCTTGAATAAAACATCCTAAGTCTCTCAATATTTCACAAGTAGTAGAAAGAAGAGGCAGAGCCCATAAAAGAAGAAAATAGGACAAAAAGAAATGTAAAACCCACTACCCCTGCAAACAACAGCAGTAGCAACAACAACAGATTGATGTCATTCTTAAAAAGATAATCAAAATATGACTAAGTACTCCTCTCTGAATTCCAGGTCAGCCAAAAAGTCTTGATAAATATTGATCATTTACCCAATTTTACCTGCATAAAAAGTGTTTTGGTAACAGAGTTAAGATCCTGGGTTTTATTCTAACTGTGAATGTCATACAGAATGATCTGAAGTAGCTTTTTCCCCTTTCAAAGAAAAGATGGGATCAGGCAGAAGGTGGATACGATGCACGCCAAAGTCACGTGATGCCCCGTATCCTCATGTATCTTCTTTTCTGTGCCCTTCCTCCCCCACAGGCAGCATCGCCGCCATTACTGTGACAGTCATCGCCGTGGTGCTGCTGGTGTTTGGAGTTGCGGCCTACCTAAAGATCAGGTGAGACGCAGCTTAGTCTTCTCTTTAAAGAAAAGGATTCTGTGTTATTGGGCTCTGGTTCTGAGCGCTGTTTTGCTGGATACTTGTTCCTTAATAGGTATCTGAGCCCTCAGAAATATTGGCAGAGAAGTGAAAAATGGTGGGTGTTCTCCTACTTTGCACAACACAGGTATAGATGTACCTTGGCAAAGTAGAAGAAGTAAGCTGAGATATACAACATGATGATGCAATGGAAGAAGAATTAACGTGGAGTCGGGAGACTGAAGCCTAGGCTCTCTGTCCTGAATGTACTTCATTACCCTGGGAAAGCCACATGCCTCCTAAAGCTCACCTATTCTCATCTGTGAAAGGGGGTAGAAGGGTGGGATCAATGGTTCCTAAATTCTGATGTTCTGAATACCGAACTGTGGATTTGTACCCAATCTGTTAATGAGGTTTCCACTGATTCTCATGCAAAATGTAAAAAATATAAGGAAGGTGTGGCTTTTCCTATAAAACTATTTTTTCCCCTGTGATTATGTCTTTATATTTTTGGTTTTAAAATATCTTTTCTCCTATGAAATTAAGTAATAGTAGCTGAGATTTTACTTTCTTTAGCCTAATAGGAAGTTGCAATACTCTGTGAGTCCTCCATTTATGTCTTCTATTGCTCTGTGAAATCAAGTCTCAATACCACATTACTCACAGTCTCTGAGTGTCCTTCCAGCTGTAATATGCCAGATGGCAAGTGACTGTCTTATTTCCCAGTCTGTGCAGTGCCCATAACAAAGGACAGAAAGACACAGGCTGCATGGTGAGGACACTCACCTTTGACCTCCAATTCGTTCTCCTCTCAGCAGCCAGAACTATTTCTATGTAAGCTCCTCTGCCCTGTCACTCCCTTCCTGAAAAACCCCAGTGGCTCCCCTTGCACTGAGAATTAAATTGTAACTCCTCAGCATGGCCCTCAGTCATCCTGGACCATGCCTGCCTCCTTCTTTCCAATCATCACATCCCTCTCTCCCTCAGAAGCCCTGAGCTCCAGTCACTCCAGCTCCCTCCAATTCTTAGGACACATCAGGTTCTGTCCTTCCTTCCCCAGGCCCTGGGATCCTGCTAGTCCCTCCCTGAGATGCTCTTCTAGCTCCTTCTCATGCTGTGTACATTGACTTTCATCTCATTTCCTTTGAGAGATATCCTTTCCAGTTTAGGGCCCGTGTTATTTACTCTCTTAGTGCCTTGTTAAGTCCATCCTGGCTATGACCACTGTCTATTATTTTATTTTCTAGCTATCATTTTGTTTTTGCATATGTGTTGCTTATTTATTGTCTCTTTTCCCCACAAAAAATGTATGGCCCTTGAGGACCTGGATTTGTCTGTGAGGACAGTGCTAGGGACCAAGACGGTGCTTGATATATTGAACAAATAAGCAATGAAACATAAAGACACACAATCCCATGGGCACTGTGGCACACACACAGACACCCGTGACTTGTACCCCCAGCAGCCATGCTTCTTCCTCAAGAAGCTGTGCCACCCTGTCCTTCCCTCCTGCCCTTGTTCCCATGTAGAGCTCATGGATATGATTCCTCATCTCAGACCACACATCCACTCTGCTGCTGCCTCGTCTCATCCCCACTCATCGCCCAGCCCCACCCAGTGCCCACTGGGAGCGCTTCCCTCCTCCTTCCCTTTCATCTCCCTCCATCTTGTGTTCTAAATGTGCACCAAATCAATCTTGATAATGTCAAGTGTGAGAGTGCCTTGCAATATCACCTGCATCAACGATACAAAGAACAGGAAAGCCAGGTTTTGAAGAGAAATTGGAATGAAAGGGCCCACATGATCTGTTTCTAATAAAACATTTTATAAAAGCATCCAGAAGTTTCCCCCAGATTTAAAAAAATATTTCTCTTCATTAAGTCTGCATGTCCTTGAGCACTCAACTTAATTTTATAAATTATGTCTTACTGAATGGTACCTTTTTCTATCTGGTTTAATTATTAGTTTATTGCTGCAGATACACCGTATTTTAATTATGAGTTAAATTGGCTTTTATGAACTACTCTGGGAACCTCGTTTCCATTTTATAACAAAGTATCTGTTGAAAAATATGTTCTGCCCCTCCTCCCCAAAAAGGAACTTACACATACATTTTAGAGTCATTTTAGACTCACCAATGGTGAGTTCCTAACGGGCTACAGTATCAAAAATACAACCTTCACTGACGTGTGGAGTGAAATAGAAACACTTCCTTCTTGCTACACACTTCCCCAAAACGGTGCGGAAGTAACTGGAAGGACTCTTCCTCTTCACTTTGGCAAGAATTCAAGTTTACCACCTCTAAACCCACACTGGCTATACGCAGGCAGTCTAAAACAGTGATTAACAATTCAGACTCCACAAGCAGGGAGACCTCAGTTCAAATCCTAGCTCTACTATTTCCAGCACTGTGACATAGGCATGTCATAGAGCACCACTCACCCTCATTTCCCTCACCTGTAAAATAAGGGCAGTAGTTTCTACCTCGTAGCTTTGTTTGGAAGCAAGTACATAGCACTGCCAGCATCATCATCATCATCAAAGTGGTAGACTGGAAGGAGCCCTGGGAAGACAGTCCTTGATAAACCGCTGTAGAGCGTCAGCCATGTGCCAGGCCACATCAGTGATGTGACACAGTTCTGCCATCACAGAACTTACCATGCTTGGAAAATTTTGTTAGCAGGCCATTACAATTTGCTCTGATGAGTGCTGATTAAAATTTTATTTTAAGCCATATTTTCCCCAGGCCTTCAGAGCACCAGATAAATTAAGTAAATGATTAAATTGAATAAATCATTATTATTCTTCCCCATTCAGCTTCTGTCTCCTAAATATAGTAAGATCCACAGTGGCATAAATATAAGGTTGCTATTTATCTATTATGCTACTTAGGTTTAAGCACTATAAACTTAAGAATGAATGGATACAGTTATTAGACCCTTAAGGGGTTTCAGAAACCCCCTAAGGAAAGCCCCTTTCTGCTTCTCTATTAATTATTTCGGTAAAATGATGACATAAAGAGATTAATCGTTGTTATGAATCTTAAGGCTATGCTAAAACCCCTTCAACTGTTATTTTGCCAGATTGTCGGAAAGCCCCATTAATCATTCATCAAAAATACTTCAATTGACATGTGTGTGTGCATGTATGTTCCTAAGGATAGGCTTTGCTTTGGCTGGGAACTTACTCTTCTTTCTTCATTCCAGATTTCTAAAAACAATAACATAACAAAAAGTTTCTTTTCTGTGGTCTTTTAGCTGGTTTGGCTGGAGCAGCAAGTGACTAAAATCACAACCCATAGGGAGCCATTAGCTTCTGACCTGCAACCATAGGATATGGCCCTGGCCCAGCCAAGTTCTCTGCAAATGCAAGGGGAGAATCTGCTTGAAAAGGCAGCCTCATGACCAGAAAAATAGAATGCTTGGCAAGCTCTGCTAACAGTGGGTTGGGACTTTTCACCTTTCTTCCCAAATCCTCATTTCCTCTAAAGACATTGTAAGCTTAAGAGCCATCTGCTTTTCACACTCCCTTTCTCCAGGGACCCATGACCCCTAGTTTTGTCACAGTGACCCCTGCCTGGAGAACCACATCTTTTTGTAACCTGAGCCACTTTTGGATGTGACTTATAAAATGAACTGCCCTGAATGCAGGGTCCTTCTTGGTTTATGACCCCAGCTTTTAACCTGCAGCAGTGTGGTGTGGAGGGAAAAATGTGAGCTTTGCAGTCAAGTTTAATGCTGACTCTTCTACTTACTATTTAGGCGGCCTTGAGCAAATTATTAACTCCTTGATCCTCAGTTTCTTTAATCTGCAAAAAAGAGAGCTAATAATATGTATCTTTCAAGGTTGTTTTAAAGATGAAATGAAGTAATGAATGCAGAGTAACTGGAGTGACTGTAGCATGGTGACTAAGAACATGCACTCTGGGACAAGTTTCTTTTTTTTTTTGAGATGGAGTCTCACCCTGTGGCCCAGGCTGCTGGAGTGCAGTGGCGTGATCTCGGCTCACTGCAACCTTCGCCTCCCGGGTTCAAGCAATTCTCCTGCCTCAGCCTCCTGAGTAGCTGAGACTATAGTCACACGCCACCACACCCAGCTAATTTTTGTATTTTTAGTAGAGACAGTGTTTCACCATATTGGCCAGGATAGTCTCGAGCTTCTAACCTGGAGATCCGCCTGCCTCGGCCTCCCAAAGTGCCGGGATTACAGGCGTAGGCCACCGCGCCCAGCCTGGGGCAAGTTTTTTAATCACTCTGTGCTCAGTTTCTTCATGTAAAATGAGACTATAATAATAGTAGTACCTAACTCAAGATTGTTACAAAGATTAAATTATGATACATATAAACGTTCAGTGCCTGGTATGAGGTGAGGATGATGGAAGGGCAATTACTGTTACTGCTGTAGTCATTGTTAGAATAGTGCTTAGCAAATAGGGACTCAGTAAACTGGTAACCACCAACACATAGGCTGTGAGGTTGGGAGCGCAGTGTCCATCCTACCATTTCCATTCAGTAGGCATAGGAATTCAAAGGAGAGGGGAGAGGAGGAGGAGAAAGATGGTACAACAGCTCATTGCCTAATTGAATATTGATATAGCGGTCTTCCATGTTCCAGTTTGGCAGTTTCGTTAGTGCTGTTCTGAAACGCCTGTGAAGTTGCATCCATGTTACACATTTATAAATGGAAACTATCTCTGAGCAGTCTTTATGCCAGGGTTTGTTTGCAACTTTAAAAGAAAGCAAAGGCCCTGCCTGCCTTTTGCAGAAGTGTCTTTAATTAGTGATGATTGAAGAATGAGATAAGTCTGTTTTGATTTGTTTAAATTGGCTCAAAACTGTTCAACCAAGAGATAATCTCCCTGCACAGGAGACCATATCTGCTAAGACCGGTGATGTGGATGTTGCTATAATTAGGTGTGCTAGTGACCCAGACAGACTACATGGGGTGTTCTCTTCACAAAAATAAATGCAGTCTTGATTTATAGACACAACAGGACCTGTCTTTTAAGATCTCTTGTTAGACATCACCTATTTTACTTTATGTCTTCTAGTGATTGCATGTTGTACAGTTGGATTTCTTCTGGTTGTTAGAGTAGGCCCAGCCAGCCATAAAGGCCGAGATCTTCTAGAATTTGTTATACACAGTTGATTTTTTCAGGTCACCTTTTGGAGTTCTGTAGGTCTTGTTTACTCCATTTTCTCCCTCAGTGGTTCTTAAACTTGACTGTGCATAAGAATCAATGGGAGAGCTTATTAAAAACACAATTTCCTGGGTCTCATCCCCATAGATTCTGATTCAGTAGGTCCAGGTGGGGCCCTTGCACTTACTTTTCTAACTAGCTCAAAGGTGATGCCAGTGCTGCTGGTCCAAGGATCACACTTTGAGTGTTTTACCCACTCCAGACACACTCTCTGCTGTAGAGTTTCTCAGAGAGATTGCCTTGTTGTTTCGTATATATTTCAGATATGTTGCCCTGTTTCAGATATATCGCCTTTGTAATTTTGAACATGCTGATCTTTCTGTGAGAGGTGTTTGGTTCACCCCTTTCTCATCTGGCTAATTTCAAGTTGTCCAGCTCAAGAGAGACCTTCTCTGGGAAGCCTTCTCCCACCTCTCCATACTGAGTTCCTTGCTGTGCATGCTTCTCTCATACCATGTGCTTCCCTGTACTGGAATCAGTGCATTCTCTACCAGTTTCCTCCACTAGAACAATATCAAGTCCCTGGCATAGTAGTTGCTTAATGAACATTTATTGGATGAGTTAATGAGTCTGAATAGGAAAGTTTGGAGGTGCAGCAATAACATTTGTTTACTCCTAATCAAGAAGAACCAGGGCTTGGGGAAGGGGAAGCCATGGGAATCTGTTAAACCACACAGACTTTTACTAGCTACCTCGTGGCACCGAACTAGTTTACAAATAAACAGATGTGCCAATGTGTAGACCTTTTCTGTGATGATTGTCTGCCAATAGTAAGCCATCTGACCTAGAGAGAAAGTTTAACATGCTCACTAATTATTGTCCTCTTATCACACATACAAAAAAAAATGTGTTTGTCTTACTCTTACTACAATAGTATCCAATTTATCCAAACCTGGCTGGAATCCCTGCACACCCAATTTTTCCTGTTTAAGCTCATTAATGTGGTAAATAAGCCCTATGGGTTCAGTACATTCCCAATTTTGGTTCATCCATATCTCTTGTATATCTTTCCTCACTTATCAGCATTTTACTCAACTCACTGTTTCTTCAATGGGAAGGTAAAAAAAAAAACAAAAAACAAAAACAACAACAACAACAAGAACAAAAAAAAACAGAAAGTAAAGGCCAGTCTTTCTCCTTTATTTTACTAGTGTTTGTATAGATGTGTCTTACAATATAGGAGATTCAGATATAACATTAACCAAATAGTCTTGCCTAAGATAACCATAGCCAGTAAAACCTGATAGCCCGAAGATTTTTAAACCTCTAATCCCCATTCCAACATATTAATAAATTTTAAAAATTCAAATACAATAACAATCATGTAAGAAACTGGTTTTATAACTATGCCTGGGATATAGTTTCAAGAGTTCCTACTGGGAGGGAGGTTCACTTTTCATTCAATGACATTTTTTACTATTTGGCAGATTCACCATGTGCTTGTATAAGATTTATCATATTAAAAATTAAAAAACAATATTGGCCAACATTCAGTGTGCATTTACTATGTGGCAAGCCTTTTAGATTCATTACCTTATTTAATCCTCCTAACAACCATAAAGCAATTTTTTAAAAAGTTTCTCCATTATATAGATGAAGAAACAGGGGGTTAAAAACTTATTCAAGGACATACATTTATTGACCAAACTTGCATTTTATGGGAATAAAATTATATGATAGATATAAAAATTCTGTGAGAAGTTCAATTACCATACAAAGGTGAAGCAGGAGTACCCTATCAATAAAGCAGCATGTTTATTAAGTAGATGTTTGCCAGGCTTGCAGCAGTAAGTTATGCTGAAATTTAGGCAGGGCTCCAGGGCTTTAGTTACAAGGTTTTAACTTGTTCATTCTATAGTTTCCATTTCTCAACTATCCTGCTAAAGGACTTGATTGGAACTGGAGGTTTTAAATTTGGGCCATAGACAGCCCATGACCTTTGTTTACCAAAACGACCTCCCTTATTTCTATAGATCAAAGAAGCAGTAGTGTTTCTGGGTTTCTATTTGTGGTCTCTTTCATTCCCACACCCACAGAAATGAATGTGAGCCTTTATGGAAAGCAAAGTAAATTGTGGAACATCTTCAGGTTTTCGGGTACTTAGATTAGGTCAGCAGAGTCAGCCTTCAGGACATAAATCAGAATTTTGAAGGCTAAGAGTTTGAAATGAGCACAGCCAAGGTCTAGTTCTTTGCAAAAAAAAAAAAAAATTCATCTTTTTGCAAATACCTGGCAGATGTAAATAAGCTTCAAAAGTGCAGTAGCAATTATTTTAGCACAGACAAAAGTACACCAAATGCTTTTGCACCTTCGAATTGTGTTTTCATTTTGTTTAATTTTCACATCTAGCTGAGATAAAAATTAGTGGGAGTGGTCATTTTTTGTGCTGTATCTAGCATACATGATTTCCATTGGCAAGGTATAATAATTTATATGCTAGCATGAGCCTTAGAGGTAACAAATGCTCATTTTGTGATGTTCTTCTAATCCTGCCATTGGTTTTAGTCTTAAAATGACCATATTCCTTTCCAGGAAGCTCCCGTCTTATGAACAGATCAGTTTTGAGGGGAACTCTGGATTTATTTTTTACAATCACTGTTTCTTTCATAAACACATATTGAGGACTTACTATGTGTCAGATATTCTTCTGGGTGCTGGAGTTAGAGCTAAGAATAAACACAACAGGCAAATAATCCATACCTGCATGGAGGTTATAGTCTAGTTAGGGAAGAGAAGCAATAACAAGTAAATTATATCATGTGTTAGAAGGTGATGAGTACTATGAGAAATACTAAGCTGGGAGTCTGGGGTGGGGGTTGAAAACTTAAATTGAATTGTGTTTTAGTCCGTTTTCACATTTCTGATAAACATACTCGAGACTGAGCAATTTACAAAAGAAAGAGGTTGAATTGTACTTACCAGTTCCATGTGGCTGGGGAAGCCTCAAAATCATGGCGGAAGGCAAAGAGGCACAAGTCACATCTTATGTGGATGGCAGCAGTCAAAAAAAGAGAAAACTTGTTCAGGGAAACTCCTGCTTACAGAACCATCAGATCTCACGAGACTCATTGACTATCATGAGAATAGCACAGGAAAGACCCGCCCCCATAATTTGATCACCTCCCACAAGGTTCCTCCCACGACATGTGGGGACTGTGGGAGTTGCAATTCAAGATGAGATTTGGGTGAGGACGCAGCCAAACCATATCAAGTTGTTAAGGAAGGCCTCACTGAAAAGATGACATTTGAGCAAAGACTTGAAGGAAATGAAAGAATGAGCTGTGTGGAGAACTGGAGGACAATTGTTCCAAGCCAAGGGAATAGTCAGTGCAGAGGCCCTGAGACAAAGTTGTGTCAGGCATGAGAGTGAGGAGAAGGAGACAAGTATGGTTGTAGCAGAGGGAGCAAGGGTCCTTTAATAGGGGCTGGTATGCTCAGAAAAGTACCTGGGGCCAGACCCCATAGGGCTTTGCAAGGCATTTTAATGACTTGGCTTTTACTCTGAAAGGAGGATCCATTCAAAGGTTTTGAACAGAGGAGTGATAACAATCTGATTTCATTTCTTATAGATGTATTATTAATTATGAGAGAGGGTCTCACAATTATCCACCAAATTCTGCTTAACCCATATTACCATTCAACTAAGGTGCTAATGAGACTCTGGGAACTTGAACTCTGAGTGCTGGATTTAGATACAGGAGATGGGGATTTGGCTGACAGCTTAGTTGGATGACTTTGGGCTCTTCAAGTAACATCTCTGAGGCCCATTTTCCTTGTCAGAGAAATAAGTATAAACTATACCTGCCCCATGGCTTTATTCTAAGGATCAAGTAAAAACTAAATATAGAAGCACTTCATAAATTATAAGACAATATAAATGTCAGGAGAGGTGGTGATAGCAACAGTGGTTGTGGTTGTGTCACCATTATTTCAGGGAAAATTAAGCCCAGAACCTATGTCAGAATGTTAGGAATACAAGCTTCCCTTTCCCATCTCTTCTTATTAAATTACTATGGAAATGGAGCCTCCTCTTCCTTCCCCAGCACTGGAGATCCAGAAGACAAGGACTCAGATGATCCCAACAGAACGTGCCAGTCGGGATCCTAGCAGGAAGAGTTGTCACTGACAGGGTGTTTGGTAGACCGGGACCTCCACAGTGGGTGGGTCTGTTGTCCTAGAGACAGCATCACACCTTTGCCTCTCTTTTGCCCCGTAAGCATCCCCAGTTCAGTGCAGGGCATTACGCTGTCCTCAGATGGGTGATTTTCCAAGTAATCACCACCCTCTTCTGTTTCTCCACCAGGCATTCCTCCTATGGAAGGCTTTTGGACGACCACGACTACGGGTCCTGGGGAAACTACAACAACCCCCTGTACGATGACTCCTAACAACGGAATATGGCCTGGGATGAGGATGAACTGTTCTTTATTTATAAGTGCTTATCCAGTAGAATTAATAAGTACCTGATGCTCATTGAACGACAATCTTAAGTCCTGTTTTGTTGGTATGGTTGTTTTTGTTTTCCTCCCTCTCCTCTGGCTGCTACAACTTCCCCTTTCTGGTACAAAAAACCATTCTTTAAAGGTGAGTGGAGGCTGATTTGCCACTGAAGTGGGCCAGCCTTGCACCAGCCAGGCCAGACCACCATGGTGGAGGCTTCTTTCCCCACTGCAGGACCCACTTTGAGAAGGACCGAGGAGGAGGATTTGGGTTGTTTTGTCAGGGGTTACTTTCAGGGGAACATTTCATTTGTGTTATTTCTTAAACTTCTATTTAGGAAATTACATTAAATATTAATGAGGGAAAAGGAAATGAGCTCTATGAGGATTTCACCCTGCATGGGAGAGAGCAGGGTTTTCTCAGATTCCTTTTTCATCTCTATTTATCTGGTTGTTTCTGACAGGATGCTGCCTGCTTGGCTCTACAAGCTGGAAAGCAGCTTCTTAGCTGCCCAATTAATGAAAGATGAAAATAGGAAGTGCCCTGGAGGAGGCCAGCAGGTCACGGGGCAGAATCTCGCAGGTTGCTGGGGGATCTCAGTGTGCCCCTACCTGTTCTCCCCTCCAGGCCAGCTGTCTCTGTAAAGGATGTCTGCTCTGTTCAAAAGGCAGCTGGGATCCCAGCCCACAAATGATCAGCAGAGTTGCATTTCCAAAGAAAAAGGCTATGAGATGAGCTGAGTTATAGAGAGAAAGGGAGAGGCATGTACACTGTGGGGAAGTGGAAGAGAAGCTGGCCGGGGGAGAAGGAGGCTAACCTGCAGAGTACCTCATTAGGACTAGTGAGAATCAGCTGTCGATAATGGCCGGAGACATCCACAGCTTGGAGGAGCCCAGAAACTCTTTGCTTTATACCCACACAGCAACTGGTCCACTGCTTTCCTGTCTGTTGGATAATGGCTGTAAACTGCTTAAAAACAAAACAAAACAAAAAAGAGGCACTGGTCTATCTGCAATTACTCAATGAGGCATTTTCATAGGAAACAGACTATGATTAATCCGTTTATTCTTCCCACACACTGACCTTACTAATTCTTCCCTTTAATAAATGAGCAACTCTGGGTATAAAGTTCTGCACAATAAATTTTGAGAAAGAATTGTTCCTCTTTGTTGGCATCCGTGTATTGCAATCATTCTCAGCCAGGAGGTGATTTTGCCCCCTGCCTCCACCCTAGGGACTTTCAAAAATGTCTGGTAACACTTTTCATCGTCATGACTTGGGGGTGCTACTAGAGACCAGGAATGCTGCCAAACATCCTACCATGCACAGCATAACCTGCCACAGCAAAGAATCATCCACCCCAGAATATCAATAGTGCTGAGACTGAGAAGCCCTGATTTATCACAGTGCCCACTGTGACAGAACAAGACACTCACAGATCAGTGATACGTTTTACTGTTAATGAAGTGAAATGATCTGTTAAGTTTTTATCTCCAAAGCGTTTAGTTTATTGGCTGGTGGGTTGTTCTTGGTATGCATGGTGACCTTTTTATTTCTGTGTGCTTCCTAGAGAGCTTTATTTCGTGGCTACAACTCTGTCTTCTTGTAACAGCTGACATTAGCAAGCAGCATCTATGTCCTGATTTCATGTAGTAGAAAACAAACATTGGGTCTGACTTCAAAATGTGTTATATTGTCCTACGGTGTCATAAAGAACCTGAAAATGGACTTTTGTTTCTCAAGTTGGACCATGCTGTCATGACTGTTTAGTTTACAGAAACTTGACCCCGGCTCGTCCTGTCTCTGGCTGTGGCCCGGCAAAGCACTGACATGAAAACCACCCTTGCTTTTCTAAACCCCTCTGGTCTCAGAGACAATAGGGGCAGTGCCACTTTCTACAACCTGCCAACCCACGCACTGGAGTAATTCTGAAAAAAAATTATTCCTAAACTCTGTAAGTGCAAACGGAGAATGAGCAAGCCCCAGCAGTGTTTTACAACAACCAGAGTGGGTAATGAGGAGGGGGCTTACTGGAATCGTGATATCTCTGAATATTGAAAACAACAACCAAAAAAGTCACCTTGTCAGAAAAAAAGGGCAGCAAATGACCAAGGGTGCCCCTTCTGGCCGTGCTTGGCTTGAGTAACTGTCTCTCTTTCCCCACCCCCATCATAGGGCTTTCAGTTTGGCAAAGGAAAAGCAGATAAAAACAAGACATTCCATGTGTTGTTTTCTCCCTTGGCCAAAAGCATTTTGACACAGTGTTTGTGAAACACCTTTGGAGAGGTGCACTTCTGATGGCTGCCTCTGCCGTCAATGCTGGGGCAAGCCTCTTCCCAGGAACCACGGCCTTCTATAAACCGTGAACTCAAGCAGGCATTTTTTTTCTTACTGAAGGCTGCTGCTGTGCAAGGGCACATAATGGGTTTGTTGCTCTTATTGGCTTCCAAATGTGTGTGGCAAAGAGAGAGATGTGGGCCTAGAGCAGATGTATTCAGCAAGGCGACAGTTTCCCATAACAATTCTAACACTTCTTATGTTATGTGAGTGTAAAATATGTAAGGGTTGAACCTTATTTTGCCAAATGTATCTTTTCTGCTTTTGAATTGGCCAAAGGATTTTAGCAACTATATTCTACAAATGTTACTTAAAACACACACACACAGACACATACACACACACACACATATCTGAAATATATACCGAAAATCGACGTCCTTGACCTCAGGGAGAGCACCTGTTCAGGTCTACCTAAGGGAAATGGCTCCAGTGGGTCTATACAACCATGTCCCATCCGTGGATAGGTCTAGTCATAACACTTTAGAGAGAATGTCAGAGCAGGAGGGAGGCAAGCTGCCTCTTTTCGACCATCGACCGCAGATGATGAAAGAGCGGGATTCTACTTTGTTTTCTTTTTCTGTGGCCACAGTGAAATCTCCTGCCCTCCCTGCACGTCTGTGTCTTCATTTCTAAAATGGGGGTGATGCTTTCAGGTTGATCTCACCCCATACTACCTCACAGATGTGTTGTGAGGATTAATAAAATTACGTCTACGGTATTTTCAGTTTCTGGAGAAAAATACTTATAGACAGTTTGACTATTACGTAGATGTATAAGTGATCCCAGTTTCTTGTTTGCTATGATACTAGTGTGTTGTTTTTACTTATTCTCTAACATGACAGTTGTGTCCTAGCCACATCAGACAGCTATCTAAGCTCTGGACTACCCCTTTGTGCAGCTGAATCACTGCAGGGTTGACCATGCCTGGGGTCACAGCAATGGTTTCCATTTCTAGATGAAAGGATGGCCTAGGACATAGGTCTCAAAGACTCTCGAATCAGAATCAGGAGATTAGGGAAAACAGGATGGACACCTGAGCACTAACAGCAGTAGACGTAGACCTCTGGCCTTCACCATCTGAGGTCTTCTGGATTATTTGTGGGGTTGATTTTGATTTGATGTCATCTGTTTGCCCTTCATCTTGTTGCAAGTGTGCATGGTTCAATCCCTCGCATCCAGGAAATGAATTTTGCAATTGGGCCAGACGCTAATTTGCACGTTGATTCACCTTCTTTGCCTTTAACCTTTTTTTTTTTTTTTTTTTTGGCAAATGAATGTACCATTTCATCTTTGATTTTAATAGTGCTAGTTGATGTTGGTAATAATGCTAACCAAGAGATCAATGCCAGATTTCTCTCTTGGGGTGAGTTAGCTGAAGTCATTTAAAGATGGAAAGATGGGAAACTTCTTTGATATTTGATGTCATTGTATCCACATTTGTTGTAAGACATATTGCATACCAATTATAATTATATCAATTAAAGTTGATAAAAGCTTCCGTCTGGCTGTGGGTGATTCACATTTTGATATATTTTGTTATTTAAACCACTTGATTGATATGCTCAACACTGCTCATATTAAGTAGTTCTGACTTGTTCTTAAAGAAAATGTATCCCACACCAGTAAATATTTTCTGCATAGCAGAAAGGGCTCTCTGACCTTAAAACAGAATTGAAGAATGTCAGAATTGAAGAAATTTTTCAAGCAGTGATTTTACTCCCAAATATACTCTGGGCCTTATAAAATAGATGTAAAAACAAACACTTTGATTCAATGAGTTGATAGCAATACATAATCAAGTCATATTAAGGCATATTGGCACTAGTGACACATTTGACACTTGCTTCACTCCCCTTTAAAAATTAAATTCAGCATACTCATCCTTATCTGACAGTTAAATAGCAGGCAATTTCAGTCATCCAAAATATAATTTCAACTCCAAAAGCTAACTGAAGATGATTCTGATTCCAAAGAAAAGAGCAGCAGCAAAACCCATTCATTTTGTTCCATAGGAAAGGAATGGATCACCTACAAACTAGAACTTGTTGATTAGTTTAATAGGTTTAGTTACTTGGTCAGATTTCATAAGTTTAGTTACTCGCTTTCAGTGACATAGCATGGAGGATTGACTGGAAAGAGTCAAGATAGGGAATGAGGATTGAGCATGAAACAGGCCCTTTCCATTAATTATTTGGTCATTTCTTGAGGGCCATTTCATGGGCACAAAAGCAACTAAAAACCCTATTATTCCAAGCTTGCCTGAATGAGGATTGGTCAGAAAGTTACCTTAAATGGGCATAGAAAGCAAAGGCTTAATAAGAATGTGTGGTGTTTACATATTATGAATTTTTGTGTCCAAATCTAATTTTTCCTATAGTATAGGTTTTCTAGGTCAGACAATAATCTATTTAGATTATTTAGTAACATATCTGTGATCTTTTACTCCCCCAAAATTCGATAGCACTCTACAATAGCTGGCTACATTTTGACTTTTGTCAGAAAGCACTGAATCATAAATGACTTTTAAAAGCACTGATCATATTGGGAAAAACCTATAAGAGGCATGATCGCTTCCTTTAAAGGATCTAGTCTTTGGCAGATGTAGACTACATTTACTGCACCAAAACACCATTAATCAGTTTGACTCAACAAATGTACTGAATTTTTATCCTAAGCAAGATATTCAATAATTACTACAAAAAAAAAGGAGTATAATATTCTTTAGGGAACTTGGGTGTCTGTGAGCATTATCTAGTATAATCCTTGCATCTGCTTTAGTGGTCATTACATTATCTCCATTTTACAGATGGGGAAACTGAAGTTCCAGAATGTTAAATGTGTTCATCCACGTACTAAATCCTTCTATGTACTCTGTAATGAACAAAATAGTCCCTACCCTCCAAGTATTTACAGTTTAGTAAGTGGCAGAGGTGGGGTTCAAACCATGTCCATCTGGCACCAGAGCCCTTGGTCTTTTATCACCCAAAGGACAAGTGTCCAATGTAAATCTTATCTGGGTATTAAGACCCTCATACCTCCTGCTCATATGAGACCTTCCACCCCTTGCAGAAATTGCTGAAGTCCCTCTCAGCTATTTCAGGCAGTCTCAAGGGTGTCTAGCATGCAGTCCAGAGCAAGCCCAGTCAGCTCTTAAAGCACATA